GTCGACGATTTCAGAAACACTGATAACCGATTTGAATAATTCAAAAAGCATTCGATTTGTATTAATAAGGAGATGTGCTGATTAGTTTTTGGCGAAGGTACGCCTAGCCGTTCCGAAGATACGGGGTAAAAGTGCCAAAAAGGTAACTCAGTTTTTAAGAGAACGGAGCGTCCGATTTTAATAATTCAGAAAACATTTTACTTGTATTGACAAGATGAAGAATTGGTCAAATTTTTATGGAGGCAGATCTAGCTGTTTCGGAAATCGAATGAAAAAAGGGAACATTCACGACAATACATTTATATAAGAATAATAATATGTAACGATTTATTACACGCTTTTGTATTTGCAGATTGCACAATCTTTAAATATCAAAGGATAAATCTTGTTTATTTATTATATTTTTTGTTATTTCAGACATACAGTATTACTATGCATCTTTATTAATATGTCAATAATATTAGAAGAAAAAATATGTCTAATCACTATTACATCAATTTTTTGAATGATAATCAATTCAATGACATTGAATTGCTCGAAACCTTATATTATCTCTAATATCAAAAGCAACGTTTCCTTACTAATATTATGGAAACATATCACATAAATTTATTTGTTTATTTTATCAGGAAATAAATTATAATTTTTATGTTTAATTGTAAAAATCTGTTTTCGTTTGGCGATAAAATAGTCGGTTTGATAAAACAATTGATATGGGAAATTTATGTAACTTATTCAACGTTCTGAAACACTTTTTAATTCATTGATAATTACCAAATTATAAATAGGTCAAAGGTCTAGAAATACAGTAAATATTGTGGGCAGACGAATATATTGGTTTTATTTTATATAAACTGTAGCGTGCATATTATTTAAATAATATTATATGATTTAGTTTAGTTTAGTTAAATGTATTGCAACTATGCTGAGGCTTGCTGCGCTGAGTGTATCTGTTGACAGAAATTAAACACAAACACGCTCGAGTCTCTAGCGCATAGCCTAGTTATAGGAATCCTAGAGGCAAAAATTATTTTAAAGATTCCCATTAGTGCGAGGGAGATTGAATAATTTTTGCCTACGGGGAAAGAGAAAAAGTAACAGAAATGCTGTGACGAACAAATTCGATTCAATCCCCACCGAAAATCAGGGTGGACATTTTTGTATAAAAGGCACAGCATTCCTGTTAAAAAGTGAGTCAGTGTTTTAGTTTTGATTTTAACGCATTTAATTAAAAGATACAGAAATTTTGACCTGGGTTCGCCGGCATTTCTGATACTAAATTAAATGCAGAAATAATTAATATTAAAGTAGTTAGTTTTCCGTTTAGTAGTGAAATACTGAGATTTTGACCTGGGTTCGCCGGCATCTCTGAAATTCGAACTAAACGCGAAAACTATTACTGGAAAAGTTGAAAACTTTAGACAGGGCTCCGAACAACGTTCGCTGACCAAATACAGAAATTTTGACCTGGGTTCGCCGACATTTCTGACATTGGATTTGAACGTTACCGGTGGATTAATTAATAAAACAACTTAGTCCTGCTAGCTGTTTTAGATAACTTAATCAACCGTACGAGTTGTTCTTCGTAACAAGATAGGGAGTTGTGTTTTAATGTATAATTAATGTAATAAGTGACTTTTATTAGTGTCTGTACGAATCCAAAATCTAAAGATAATACATGTTTTATAACTTATAGTGGTTTTCTTTATTGCATAACTGGTGCGAAAGTGAGAATTTAATAAGTTTATAAAATCTAGTGTTATAAACTGGCGCCCAAACGAGCGGGCAGAGCTAAAAAAGACACTGTTATTGAAAAAGACATTAATCCGAACACAATGGAATTCTCAGTTACTGAAGAAATGCTATCACGCGTTTTAAATTGTGCGACGGCTAGAAACGTTCCGCCAGGTAGTTTTTCAAAGTGCGATTACAAATTCGACGGATCTCGCGATGCGCATAAGGCTCAGGAATTCGTAGAAAAATTGTTATCTACAAGAAATATGAACAAATCCCTGATGAAAGAGCCATCCGCGAGATGCCTTTACTATTGACAGGTGAGGCAACAGTATGGTGGAAGGGTGTGGAATCGGAAATCCACACCTGGACAGACGTTATCACCAACCTGCAGGAATCATTCGCACCCACACGCCCGGACTACTTAATTTTTTCGGAATTATTCGAGCGTCAGAAGGAGAAAGAGAACGTAGACAAATTCATAGCGCATAAGCGAGCTTTGTTTGCGGAATTGTCAACGAAGACAGTAGAAAGGACGCAAATTGACATGATATACGGTCTCTTAACCTTAAAATTAAGAAAGTGCGTTGATCGAAGTAGCGTCAACACATTTAACGAACTACTGACAAGGTGTCGAACGGTGCAGCAGAACATACAGGAAGCCACATCGTTGCAAGAAACTATAAAGTGTTCGCACTGCAGAAAATTCGGACACGAAAAAGAAGACTGCAGAAAATTGTGCAACAAACCCTGCCTCAGAGAAAACCGCTAATTGAAAATCAGCTAATTTGCTATGGCTGCGGAGAGAAGGGTTTTGTGCGAAGTAAGTGTCCAAGATGCAACTCGAAACCAAAAATTGAGGATTCACCGTTAGCTTTTTTCGCGCTGGGTGCAAAAACAGATGTTGCAATAAACAAATCAAGATGCACAATCTGTAGGAACCACAAAAGAAAACGGCCGGAAAGCGATGAAACCGACATTTTGTGGATGCATCATCACGCAGACATAGGATTACCTAACGCAGGTATCTGTTCACGGCCCGTAATCCGAATGTCTATACAGGGATCTACTGGAGCAGGCTATATAGACACCGGAGCACGCAGAAGTTTGGCAGGCGCGAGCCTGTACGCGGTTTTGAAGGAGACTGGTCATCGCTTCGAACCTGTAATTATGCAGGTAACGCTTGCAGACGGCGTTGCAAAACGCGAACAAGTGTTAATGACATGCACGATTGTACGTGTGGAAGGTCGCGCCGTGCCGGTAGAATTCGTAATATTACCAAAAGCAAAAAATAGTCGCACGCTGCTGGGGGTCGATTTTCTTACGAAGGCTGGAATAATACTTGATATGGCAAACGGTCAATGGTATTTTAATAATGACACGAGCAGAAGTTTTAAGTTTTTAAAGGAAGACCAGGTAACCGCACAAATGAATATGGTTTCGGTCGAACCAACGCCGGAAGAAATAGACGATCGGAATAAATATGATCCGACGTTTATAGAAGAGCTCTTTAGAGATTCGCTGCCGTTAAACTGTGAATTGGAATACCCCATGTATGCTCACCTAGCAGCGATCGACATGACTATAGATTTGCGAGAGGACGAAGCGACCGCGCTGACCGAAACACAACGGGGTGCCTGGAATCAGCTGCTTGACGAGTTCGATGACCTCTTTGCCGAAAATGGAACGGCTTGTGCGTACGTACAGCATCGCATAACTGTGACTGAGGACACGCCCATTGCGTTACCACCGTATAGGATGACTCCAAGGCGAAAAGGAGGAGCTGAAGACAGGCATAGACAAGCTGATGAAACTTTGGCACACAATCTGCGGACCGACGCAAGCTCTTATGCTCTAGGGGGAGCATTACTCCAGGGGGAGGAAGAGGACGAGCGGCCCGTGGAATATGCTAGCCGACTACGAGTCAATCCGCTACGGCGTAGAGATCGTCCAAGGAAACGCTAGCATGCAGGAGATGCCCGCTGTTGATTCTGGACCGTTAGCTGGCACTTAAACGATCCAGAGGGGGAGGATGTAGCGTGCATATTATTTAAATAATATTATATGATTTAGTTTAGTTTAGTTAAATGTATTGCAACTATGCTGAGGCTTGCTGCGCTGAGTGTATCTGTTGACAGAAATTAAACACAAACACGCTCGAGTCTCTAGCGCATAGCCTAGTTATAGGAATCCTAGAGGCAAAAATTATTTTAAAGATTCCCATTAGTGCGAGGGAGATTGAATAATTTTTGCCTACGGGGAAAGAGAAAAAGTAACAGAAATGCTGTGACGAACAAATTCGATTCAATCCCCACCGAAAATCAGGGTGGACATTTTTGTATAAAAGGCACAGCATTCCTGTTAAAAAGTGAGTCAGTGTTTTAGTTTTGATTTTAACGCATTTAATTAAAAGATACAGAAATTTTGACCTGGGTTCGCCGGCATTTCTGATACTAAATTAAATGCAGAAATAATTAATATTAAAGTAGTTAGTTTTCCGTTTAGTAGTGAAATACTGAGATTTGACCTGGGTTCGCCGGCATCTCTGAAATTCGAACTAAACGCGAAAACTATTACTGGAAAAGTTGAAAACTTTAGACAGGGCTCCGAACAACGTTCGCTGACCAAATACAGAAATTTTGACCTGGGTTCGCCGGCATTTCTGACATTGGATTTGAACGTTACCGGTGGATTAATTAATAAAACAACTTAGTCCTGCTAAGCTGTTTTAGATAACTTAATCAACCGTACGAGTTGTTCTTCGTAACAAGATAGGGAGTTGTGTTTTAATGTATAATTAATGTAATAAGTGACTTTTATTAGTGTCTGTACGAATCCAAAATCTAAAGATAATACATGTTTTATAACTTATAGTGGTTTTCTTTATTGCATAACTGGTGCGAAAGTGAGAATTTAATAAGTTTATAAAATCTAGTGTTATAAAACTAATATCTTACGGAGCTCTTTTGATACTTTTTTTTATAAATATCAGACGTCAGAACTGTTAGTGATAAAAAATCTGAAATTACTGACAATTCTACTTTTACGTTCATTGAATATATTTTAATATTATAATTTACGAAATTTATATATATATTAATAAATAAGGTTTAACGATGTACACTCAATAGTTTATTATTTTAGAAATTACTAATGACAAATTCTATTTTTTTCGTTAATACACAAATAACTTCATATTTTTATTATTAATTTGCATGAAAACTGATTAAACCTAATTTATATGGGATCTAGTTATTACTCCCATTATGATACCTGAAGTTTGTTTAATGCAAAAAAATTGTAATAATAAAAGTTTCAAAGTATCTAAAAATAAAATACTCGATGATCAATTCATGTAATTATTATGTCATTATCAAGTAGTAGGTAGTCGTTCTCGTAACAAGTTGTCTAGATTGAGTAATGTCTACGTTTAAAATAGATATATCTATCTAATTTTACCCGTTTGGGCACTTCGATATGATTACCACTTAAATTATTAAAGCTTACATAAGTACTTCACATAATTGAAGTTCTAAATGGGGCTATCACAGCCCCAAACTTACTTTATGACCATCATAATCATACATTTATTTTCCGCAGTATTGTTTCGACTTTGCAGAAATTAAGTATTACGTCTGAAATTAATTGTAATGATATCTGAAAATTTTGAAAATTGTTGAAGATTTCGGTACTCGTTCTTGTGGCCTTTTTATTTATTTAAGTTTTTTATTTATTTAAACAAACTAATGTTACTTTTAAAATAGTATATTAATCTTGTTAATATTACCATTGGTATCTTTTAAAATCTTAGGTTCTTTTTCGGCAAGGAGTAAATTATCTGCATGTGCAATAATCATTTGCAGTAAATTATTTGCATCCGCATATGAAATTACTCAAATATCGACATCAGTAATGTATATTATAGAGAGGTCTTCAAAATTTTTTTAAATTGTAATAAATTTTATTAGAAATTCATAAAATCTGTATTTTTATTTAACACATTTAACTGCAATCCGAATTTCCGTTCTATGATTAGTTGTGCTCGAACTTCTTCTCACGTCGATGTTTTAGATGGTAACCCAATGGTTAACCTATTCATGTTTTAAGGGGGTTGTTCGGTTTTTATTTATTTATTTTTTATTTTGAGATTTTTTGATATTATGAAAGCTAAAAACCTTAGAATTATTTAAAAAAATCATCTCAATATCTATTTTTTTGACGATGTTATATATATATATATATATATATATATATATATATATATATATCTCTATATATATCTCTATATGTATGATCATCTGGAACCGTTTTTTTCATCGCTCCGGAGCTATTGTATGCCTGCTGCTCTCTTTTTCATTATAATACCTCATATTTTTTGATCCGACATATTTTGCAAACTATTTGTCATGTAATTATCAATCATTTTATGCGTTTTCTTATTCTATCATTTAATATCTGCTCAGTTACAATACAATTAAAAGTTGATCGCCTCTGGTAGGAAATCGTTTGACCTTTGATACGTTGTGAATATATTACTATTAAACTGAAACAAAGCTAGCACAATGGCAATATAAGTAATATTAATATATCTTTGTCAGATGCCGAAAATATGATAGAACAATAATTACTTAAGTTTATTTTTATGCAAACCGCGAAGGCACGTTTCGTGCTAGGAATTCTATTATTTGTAAGTAAACTTGACGTTTGGTTAAAATGATATTGTATTTAGTTAATAGATTTTCGTGACAACTAACCGTAAATATAATAATGTTTTATAAACTTTTGTTTCTTCTACCTATTTGCTTTCTATTACTTCTAACCAATTATTTTTGTTGTAGATAAAAGCAACACGGTAAAGATCAATATTTATACGCACGCACCATCTGTAAATTGAACTTCAGGAATAAGATTTTTTAAGGATAGATTTGAAATAAATATATAATAGTACTATTTTTTATATTTGCTAGGTGTCTATTAAGCATAGCTGCAATTTATATTGTGAAATAAAAAAAACATTTGCAATAATTTGTTTGTTATTATAAAATTTATATGAAGTCTTACGGTGGTATAATATTATAAATAAGCTAACCAATAACAACAAAGAGTTTTTAATACATTTAATTATATAAGAGTAAAAAAAATATACATGAGGTCTTTTAACATACTTATAAAATGATTAACATACTAAACACACAACACTTATGTGCGAACGCTTAAAAATACAAAGAAAGTTATTCATATCATATACAAAAATAAACTTGGAGGTTTTTAAACAATTGGATTTTGATGTATATTTCCAAATTTATATTTATCATTGATAGAGCATTTGTCTACATTTGTATTTACACTTGATTATTATATTTGCATTTATACACCACGAGGTGTAAAACTGAATTCAAGAATAAACATCTCATATTCTATGTAATATTATGTTCAGATTTATTTAGTATAATACACGTTTTGTAATACTAATACACCTAAGTCTGTTTTTACACGGAGATTGGTTCCAGAAGAATCCGTGTAAAAAAAAACGTGTAAAAAAAGACATTGATCTTATACAAAAATGGGTGATTTGTTCCTAATCTCTAAAACCTATTAAAATTAGTGAAAAACAAGAATTTTTTATGAACAAGAATTAAATTAGTGCTATTCACATTTGCTTTGACCAGAAAAAATTGTTTGTACGCGCTAAAGGGGAATTCACTTGAATCTAAGCTAGTGTTCGCAAACTATCGATACTATCGATGGTTTCAGACTTTTTTCCTTCATAAATACTTTTTTGTGATATGAACATACTTCGCAAAAATTAAATTTGACAAAAAAAAAATTCAAGTACATAAAATTTCAAATCGTGCTAAGTGGAATAAAATCGTGTAAAAAAATTAAAAATATTCAATTTTCAAACCGTGTTATATCAAAACCGTGTACAAAAAGACCGTGTAAAAACAGACTTAGGTGTATTTACTAATTTGGCCGGAGGAGAGCAAAATCAGAAAATTTATATGATGAATGTTTTTAAGCAAACAAGTAAAAATAAATAATTATCCTTCACTATTGAATATTTTTCTTTTTTAGTTTATATTTTTGAATAATACAACTAGTGGGGTGTATGGCATCATGCCTTAAGGCAAATTGCTGGAACTTCCCGTACCGTAACGAAATGTTCGAGGAATACTGAATGTTTTCAAATAGATTATTATAAATATTGTAACATTGTCTAATATTTATAAGAATTATATAAACTGAATTGCAAAGTTAAAATTATTTGTTTAAAGTATATTAGAACTTTAGTCAGAATTAAAAATAGAATATGAATTAGTTTCGATATACAAAAAAAAAAAAAAAAAAAATGATACAATTTTTTATACAAAACAAGCTAAAAGTTCTTTGAATCATTTAAATTGGACGCTTAGTTCTCTCAAAAACTGCCATTTTTTGCACATTTAGCCCTGTATCTTCGAAATGGCTGGGCCTGCCATTGTCAAAAACTAATAATCACTTCTCCCAATCATTACTAATTGAATGTTTTTTAGATCATTCAAATCGGATGCTCCGTTCACTCAAAAACTCGAATTCTATTTTCTGCACTCTTTGCTCCGCATCTCCGAAACGGATGGACCTGCGTTTGCCAAAAACTAATCAGCACATCTCCCTATCAATAGGAATGGAATGTTTTTTGAACTATTCAAATCGGTTGATCTGTGCGCCCGAAAACGTGGACATGAAATTGTATCCATACATACATACACACACATACATCCATTTTTTCTGAAGTATGCCAAAATGTTCAGAAACCTTCAAAATGTAAAGAAATGTAAAAATTTTCAATTTCGATTTTTGGCCCATTACAATAACTTACCCTAAGGGAAGTTAAAAAATGTTTTAACTTGTTGAAATTTTAATTTCTATAATTAACTTTTTCTAGAATTACCTTATTATATATGTTATTTTGTAGCATCCTGGAGGTGAAGAAGTTCTGCTGGAGCAGGCTGGTAAGGATGGTACCGAGGCTTTCGAGGATGTAGGTCACAGCTCGGATGCCCGTGAACTTATGAGGAAATACAAAATAGGAGAAATTGTCGAACACGAGCGCAAAAAGACCCAAGAAAAGGCACTTCCAGACTGGAGCAACCAACAAGCTGGCGAGGACAAAGAAAAGTGCGTTTGCTCTTAAAGAAAAACAAGTAAAAATCTCGGAATCGGTTTTGTAGATTGATAATAAAGGTGAAAATGGGATATTTTTTAAAATTCAAGAATTTTCACATAGTTTTTTGACTTCAGCACTTTTCGTATTAAGCATAGATTTGTTGTGAGCATTTCGTTTTCAGTTACATTTATAATTAGATTGATCTTGGAAAATGTTTTCACTAGAAAAAATTACTATTTTTTTTAGACAAACACTCAACATATGATAAAGTAAAATAGTCCCATCATCACGTTGTAAATTTGATTTTTATGATTTACTAAACCAATCAAAAAGTATGGGCATGTCATGAGCAATTTTCAGAAATCATTTATTTGATTTAATAAATATTTGTGTGCGTATGGATTTTTTTCGTATTATTATTATTGGTACTAACCTAGTTGAAAATGAGTTCCATTTATATATTTTTTTTATAAAAATGTTATGAATCTTCAATACATACACATATTGAACTTTTTATTTAGTCTTAGATTTTTACTTTTTATTTAATTTATATTTTAATATAAGATATATGACAAATATTTTGAACGAATTTATTTTAACTTGTGCTTAAATTATGGTTGTGTTCCGCCGGTTACTTTTTTATACCTTTTTATTAGTTTAATATGCGTAAATAATTTTTGAATTTTATCTTTAATAAAAAAAAATCATTGAAAACTGATATTACATTTTATTGTATAATTGACGTTCGATATAATTGTAATTGTTTGTCATTTCGTGTTTTCTGATAAAATGATGGGTTGCAAAAATATTAGAATGTGTTTCAAATTAATAATTTTATGAATATTTTTTTAGTTCTTCTAATTAGAAATGCAATCACAAACATTTTGTTGGCAAAATAAAATCAATTACTCTGACGGCATTTTTGAATAACGCTGAAAATTTATCCATTTTTTCCGTGGCAGGTTACACTAAATTTTTATTTTAAATAATGATAATCGAATCAAAAACGCTAAGTACAGTTTCAACTGCCTTACATTAGAATTTTTATTTTATCTAAAATAAGAGGAAAATATTGGGTTCAATATTTTACTTTTCATCTATTTACTTTTATATGATGCAATTAGTTTTTATACATTAATTTCTCATTAGCAATGTTAGGTTTTTTATATTAATGTTTTTATGTCTATATACATATATTATAGGGCAATTTTGACAATTTCTATGGAAATATGTGCCTTACAAAATTTAACAAAAAATGTTTTAAATGCAAGTTTAAGTTTATCTTTTTTATCATTAAGTGAGTATTATTTGATCGTATTGTTAATAAAATTACCGTTAAAAGCTATTTTTATTTGTCTTTGTCTAATTCTTATTTCGTATTGAAGTGTGAGATATATAGAATTGTACTGCATGTTAATTTTATCATTAGTAATTATTAACTTATATTGAAATTGTGTTCATTTCTTGTTAACTGTTTTTTTCTTGTTTATTTCGAAAGATTCTTATTGCTGTCATTCATCTGTAGATTATATGTCAATGTATGTGAATTTTCATCGAAGAATACGTGAGAGTCGATTTATGTTTCACGAAATACTTGCCATGCTGAATATAATTTGTTTAAATATATATATATATATATATATATATATATATTTGTATTATGGTATATAGTTGGAGAGTGTCCCAAAATTATAAAATGTTAGTTTTTTCATAATTAATTATTTATTTATTTATATATTTCGTTATTTCAATAGCAATGTTGTCGACAATAGTAAATATTTTTAGTAAATTTTAGTAAAGATTTTCAATAATATAAATTAACTTTATTCCAGACTATTCAAAATTTATGCTTTTTGCTATACCTGAAATTACCGCGCAAAATTTCTTCCTACCTACGAGGTATGTACATGCGTTTTTATCTGTTGTCGGAGCGTATAAAATTTGCAAGATCATCTACAAGGTTTTTCAAACTGGTATCTCGTTAACTTTATCTATTTCAAACGTTATTTGTTGGACATCTATGTTACCAGGTTAAGAATTTGATTTTAATTCGAAAGTCAGTAATAAAAGTTTTGATTTCTTCGTATTTTATATTATAGTTATTAATATTACCCTAAAAATATAAGTAATTTTATTCTTAAATATTTTATGTTGTATTATTATTATTATTTTTGAAATGCATTAATATTTAGAACCATTCATGTTATTCAATGAACACAATATTTATTAAAACGCTATTCTTAAATGCGAACTTAAACTTTTCTAGCTGCCAAATATAAAAATATGCATAATATCTTTTGGACTATTTGATTTTTTTGGCAAAAAATTATATTCTATGATTGTGATTTTAGTTTTTTGCAATTGAAATGTCAACAGTTTGTTTTTCTAGTACGCTTAAATTATTTTTGCATTCGGCTAGAAACTCTCAATAAATTATATTGTGAAGCTACATCAAGATTATATTCACCATGGCTTATGCGAGAATCTTGAAACAACTTCAATAATTAGTTGATAGTCTTAAATCCTATACCGAGTAAAAAATAATTTTTATTTTCAGCTCACTGAAAACATGGATTCTCCCTATTGTTCTGGGCATTTTAGCGACACTTCTCTACCGATTTTATGTGTTACAATAATCACTTTTATTTTTAACTGAAATATCACATATTAGAAAAAGGTAAGGTACGAGGCACCACCCATGCTGATTCTTCAGATAAGTAATTGACTTTGAAACTTCTATTTCGTTGTAACAACCATTTTCGTAATTTCAATCGCGCTGTTAATTTTTGAATCTAGTTTTTCTTAAGATAATTTACTTGTTTAATTTAACTATATATTATGAAATGTGGTAGCATTTTTTCAATGAACACTGTCTTGATTAATATTTAGATTAATTTGAAATATCATATTGTTTCTATGATAAAAAGCCTACTTATTTTGCGGACCAAACAAATATTAATTCTTTTAATTGTGTGGTTTTTTTCTCCACTAGAGTAGATTTTATTGAAACGATTTAGATATAGTTTGAAATTATATACATGAGACACATCGTCTAGATCGTTGTGAAACATTTCAGGATCAGATACATATGAGTATCTTGCACAATGGCACCATAATTTTAGTGGCATAATTTAGGTTCATGCGCCATTTGAAGTGAAGGAAACAAATTATTTTTTAAATTATATATTTATGTACTATTTATATTCCACAAATGTGCATTTCAATTCGGCTTGTTCATTGAAAAGCATTTATTCGTAAGGTTTAGAAGAGAGTTTCATATTTTTACAATACTAAAATGGTTCATTTGTTAAATAGTTCATTATTATTGAATATTTTATAATTATAAATATGATAAACTGATATTCTCCATAGCAGAAACATTTATATAATTGTAATTCTTGTTGTATAATAAATATTTTTTAAAAATAAAAATTGATTTATAATCAAAATTTTAGGTTGATAAAGTTTGAGTAATTATATATGTAAATTTAATCTGAATTGTTGTGATAACGTGTATTTGTCACTTTACAGTTTTCTTTGAAAATTACAATACGCAAGTGTATTTCTTTCTAATTAATTCATCACTATATTAACATGAATTGCGAAGCACATACATTCACAAAGAAAGCATAAACATTTAAATATTAATTTGTTAGCACACATTTTTATCAAAAAAAAAAATGTTATAATGACATATAAAGTGTTAGTGTATAATCTATCATTTTTCTTTTTTTTTATTCTAGCTATCATTTAAATTTTTTGTTGTATTATCCATTTATTTATTGCTTTTGTTATATTTTGTATGATTTCCTTTCTTTCATAATTTTATTAATTTTAATAATATCAATTAACTTTTATTTTTCTTAAGTATATTATTTTGGTTGGTTTATGTTGAATCAAAATCATACTTCGTCGATAATAAATATTTTTTTTAAAGCTTTTCGTTTTTTTATTACAATCGAATTTGTTGTTTGGAGCCCTACACAATACGTTAATAGAAACGAATCTATGCTAAATATTTCTTTTATCTGTGCTAAATTCTTTTCTTTTTATTTTTTTATTGTCGGGCAAACACACGACGCTTGGTGCAGTTATTGAGCTGTCAAAAATTAGCCATTAACCTGCACGTTTTGCACAATGGCGCACCAACGTCAAAAAATTATGTGATATACAAAGCAATGATACTAACAGAATCATAACAGAATAGTGAAATTTTAGGCATTAATAAAATAAGTGTTGCAATTGTCAAACAGATGCATTTAACCTCTATTTCTGTTATCTTTGATATGTAATTATTTTATATTGTATAGTATTATAGCGAACAAAACGCTTCAAATTGCATTATTATAATATTACGGAAATTATTAAGTAGTACTGTTATGCTATTTTGCAATAATTTTTCATGTCGACTTCAAAGTGTTTGATTGCTAATATCACAAACATATCCTATTATTAAAATTAATTAAATAACCTAAAATATATCTTAATTTAAAAATGTATAAACTAAACAATACATAAAGCAAATAATACTTTTCTTTATCTACGAATATATCATATTCTAATATTGTCTAGGAAGCCAACCATAAAATACGTACGGAAGATCTTAAATAATAGGGTTTGTCGGTTTTTAAAAACCGGTTTTTTGACGAAAATTATGGAATTCGAAAACCGTTTTTTAGTAGAAAAAGTGGGTTTTCAATGTATAAATGCAAAGTGACAAATATAGCCAAATATAAAAGATATATAGATGCAAGCGTTTTGATTCTTGGAATCATATCGGTTCAATAGCATTTGGAATGTTATCAGTCTGCTATGGTTGCCAGAATGGTTTTGTGTTATCTTTTATCTAATGTATATATTAATTTAGATTTTTAAACCAGTGTATATATTAATTTAAATCAGTGTGACTTCTTGTAGAAGTAACTTTCTCTACTCAAACTTAAAAAAAAGAGTTTTCAGTCCTAGAAGCCACAAATAAAAGAACAATTAGCTGTAAGTGGAATTCTGTCTTAAGGCAATTAGGGCATCGTGCCTTAAGGCAAATTGCTGGAATCATCCCGTACCAAATATTATTATTTTTTTATAAACGATTGATATTTTTGAAAAAATTTTACTTAAAAAAAATTAGATTTTTGAGAAACTAGGAATTAGACAAAAAAATTCTTTTTTTGAAAAAAAATTTTTTTTTGAAAAAAAAATGTTTTCCTTATTTTAACATATTTTGGAAATTCTGAACTTTTTTTCAAAGCAATCGTACTGCTTTAACTGCATAGAGACAAAATGTAAAAGCGCGTAAGCACCGCGTCGCCGTCTAACGAATAAACATTGGTACGGAACCCATAGAAATGCAAATAAAATTTATACTTATTGTTAAAATCTCTATAAAATATCTGATAATTTGATGTGCATATGTCATCAGAGTTCATTAGATCTCCGAAACCGCTAGACCTGCCTTTATGAAAATTTGATCGGTTCTTCAATTGTTCGATTGTCAATACAAGTAAAATGTTTTTTGAATTTGAATCCGCACACACACACACGCACACACATACATCATTTTTTTTCTTTAAGGTATGCCAAAATGTTCAGAAACCTTTGAAACGTAACGCCCTACGGGAAGTTAAAAAACTCAGAATTATTATATAAGGCTTATAAAAACAATTAAGCCTAGTTCCGTCGCAAGTGAGAGAGTATTTTCTATTTCGGGAAATTTTGTCGGTAAACAAAGGGCCTTTATAAGTAACAAATCGATAGACGTTCTGAGATTTTTGAAATCATATTTTATTAAACAAAAAAAAAATTAGAATTTTTAAAATTAATTAATTAAAATTGCTCGGAATGGAAAATACTCGGGGTTTAGCTTAATTGTTTTTAAAACTAAAATTGGTATTAACAAGTATGTATCAACATCTACGTAATATTTTTTAATTTTTTTTAATTTAATAAATGCTTTTTATTTAAAAATGTATTATTTTTGTTTATTTGAAAACTTTCACTGTCCTTTCACTATCATAAAAATATTTTCATTGTTATATGTGAAAATGATGCATGAATAACTAATAATTATTTTCAAAGTTATTTAATCCAGATAAACTATTATTATTTTGTTCTACTAAGTAAAATTAAAATAACTTTGTTTACTATCCATAAAATTGAACAATAAATTAATTCAGTCAAATACTGCTTTAAAACACACTAAATTAGCGGGTAAATTTTTGTTATTACAGAATATTCGAGCAAAACTTTATTTTCTATATAAAATTCGAAAACCGGTTTTCTGGTAAAATTAAAATTCGAAAACCGGTTTGCTGAAACGTTGGGTTTTTGTGTAAACCCTATTAAATAATAATGTAATATTATTAAAATAACCTAAATTTGTAACCTACACTTAAAAATAAGAAAACAATATTAATTAAATAAAGTATAATATGGGAACGTAGTAACCTAAATTCCTGAACTACATAAAAAGCAGTAAAAAAATAATGCTAATACATAAAATCGCTCACAAATACGAAAAACCTAAAGAGATAATATAAGTGCAGGTAAAATTGTTCAAATACAAGAGAATAAGAGAATAAATAACAAAAAAATAATAACGAACTCGGGTTAAAAAAATACGTACTAAGAACTGTGAGAAATGTGTAGAACTGTACAGGCTACTCAAATCGACATGCCAGAAAAATGACAGATAACAAACTGCTTGGAACGCAACCAAACAAGAAATGTGTAGTCAGGCTTTTGAAGCTACAAACTTCACACGGCTTTTATGAAAATGTGAGTACTCTCTGTGAGCACCCTTTTGGGCAAAGATGGCAAAAAGAAGAGCCTCCTTATGAGGTGAGTACTTTTGAAATAATTTATGTTAGCTGTGCAAGAAATATTTCCCATTCGGCAACTCTAAATGTGACATTCGGTTTGTGCAAACTTAGTACAAGTTAGTGCAACGCGTTTCCCTTGGACATCGTGTGAAAGTTTTCTTGTAAATGGGAGGCTAATAAACTAATATCGAATGGCATGAAAAATACATTCGTTCATTGTACACAAAGTGCTTCACATATAATGTTTTTGTTTACAATATTGATTGATAGTTACTAGTTCCATGTAGTTAGGTTATGTTATTTGTCCACAAACAAAAATTGTAAATGCTTGTATGGGGATTTTATTAATGCATTCATGGGTTTTCACTCAATTTAAACATGCCAAAAAAATTAAATTTTTCTCTCCATTCAATTTTCTGTCTACATTTTCAGTATCAAACAAACAAACCTCTCACTTACGTTTTTCCACACTTCAATCTTGTTAATATTTTTTTACAAGATTGAAGTGAGTGAAAATGTGGATGTTTTAATTTGTGCGATTTTTTTTTCAAGAAATTTTTTTTCCAAAATTTTTTTCACATTTTTTTTTCCCAAAATTTTGTTTCCAAAATTATTTTCCCCAAAAAATCAAAGCTTATAGTCCATGGTTTTATTTAAATTAGTGTTGTCCAAATAAAGTGGCTTTCGGAAGATTTTGCATTTCGCTTATATCAAGTTTTCCAGCTATATACTTTTAGGAAAACCACCCTGTTTCGAAGAGACATATTGAACCAGTACCCTGCTTGGTTACCATTACCTGATAATGGTTATATTAATGATTATATATATATATATATATATATATATATATATATATATATGTGGTATATGAAATAATTCAATATAAGTAGTACAAATAGGAAAGATGAATAAATGAAATGAGGACAAAATATACGCGTATAAAATATATTTTCATCAAAATTACAAACTTGTCGTGAAATAAAAAAAATCAAGCGCGCAAGGTACGCACGTACTTTTTTTAGTTTATTTCTGTTTTATTACAATATATTATAATATAATATACAATAACCATGATTTATGAGTTTACTACTAAAAGTATTTTACCCTTATTTAATACTACAAACTATCCACTTTAAATTATACATTTTGTTTAAAAATAAAATAACGGTTGTGATCAAAAAAAAGAAAGTTCAAACATTTTTCAAAAAAAGCACAATCTTTAAATAAATATTTAATTTACATACTTAAAGTATATTATTAGATACTCTTATTTGTGTCGTCCAGAATGTAGTTTGGCATTGGGTATTTGCCGTACCATATGATGTCACGCGTGTACTGTCCAAGGGTTCTAAAATTATTATTGGTATGGTCTTTACATTTTTCGTAGAAGTTTTTCGTCATTTTCTTAATGTGGGTAATCACAGTCGGTATGTCTGCTTGTTCGTGTAAGAGCTTTGTTGGGTAGTAGTGTCCGGTAGTTGGGTCACGTATCAGGTTCAGTATAAGTCTCAGTGATTTGTTTTGTAAAATTTGTAGTTTTTTTAATGTTTGTCCTCGATGTCATGTTCCATATAGGGGCAGCATACATCAGACATGGCCTGATCAACGTTAGATATATTCTTCTTTTATTACGCGTATTTAAAACACTCTTTGTGTTCAATAATGGTCTTAAGAGATTTAGAAGCTCATATGTTTGCGCCAGTTTCTTTTTTATATGTGTATTGAAGTTAAATTTCCTATCAAGTGTTAGTCCTAGGTACTTAACTTCATCTGTCCATTTAATTTTGTGTCCTGAAATTTTTATTTCTATAGGCTTTTCTTTCAACTTATTTCCTTTCCAAAAAATTATTGCTTTCGTTTTTATGGGATTTACTTTTATGTGCCATTTTTCTGCATATTTTGCTATATTATCTATGTGATTTTGTAGCTTGTTAGCTATCACCACTACTGGTTTTGATGATGTGAACAGAGCAGTATCGTCCGCAAAAGTTAATGTATTTGTTTTGCTGTCAGTAGGGATATCATATATATACGTGTTAAACAATGTTGGTCCTAGTAAGAATCCCTGAGGCACTCCAGCTACTATACGTTTAGGATTTGAAAGTTTATTATTTACTTGAACCTGAAATGTACGATCTTTAAGATATGAAATGATGACTTTTGTTATGTAATGCGGAAATTGTAAATTTATCTGTCCAAATTTCATCGAAAGCTTTTTCAAAATCTATTAGTACAAGACCTGTGTGTGTCGTTTTGTTAAAATTTAGTTTCTAGTATGATGTTATTAACACTTGAAAATTTATTAAATCGAACATGCAGTATTTTTTCAACTACTTTGCTTATTGTATTTAATAGACTTATAGGTCTGTAGCTTTGTGGTAGATTTGGTTGTTTTCCTGGCTTGATACCACATTATTGATACCACAAATATTGATACCACATTAGAACATTTCCATGATACAGGAAAATGTCCATTTGTAAAAATTTTATATATTATTCGTGTAAGTAGAATAATAGCTTTAATAGGTAACTGTTTAATTGCTAAGTTCTGTATACCATCTGGTCCTGGAGCTTTTTTATCAGACAGTTTCTTAATAATATTTATAACTTCCGCAACTGTTACTATCTCTATTTTGTGATTTTTGTTATATGTATTGTTTATATATTGTCTTACCCTGGAATTAATAGTCTGTTCAAAAGCATTTTGAGTAATAGAAATATTGTACTGATGTGCTAATTCGAAGTTGGATGCTAAAATTTCGGCCTTTTGTTCGGGTGTTGTTGCAAAGTTATTGGAATTTGTATGTAAATATGGTATGGGAGTAGAAGTTTGGGTCAGTTTTTTTGCAGTGTACCAAATTTTATTTGGATAATATTTGTTAGTTTATCAGCCCATATTTTATTACGATGAACCCTTATGCCCTCAGTAATTATTCTAGTAAGCCTGTTTAAATGTTCTTTGAGGAACGTGGCACCTGATTTTTGCCACGAACAATCGTTTGTCTGAGTACATCAACGTTATTTTTTATTCCATTTGAATTAAAAAACATTATTTTTATTCCATACTTGTCAATTATGGGCATATTTATTAAGAAAATTTAAAATTGTAGTATATTTTTCATTGTATGTCATTTTAGTATTTATAGTCTTTGTAAGTGCATAAAGTTCCCTGAAATTTCTTGTTATCTCAGGATCTGAAAAAAGCAACTTGATTTGACTTATTGCAGCAAAAATGCCTTCGGTGGAGTTAAAATCAGGATCTTGATACGATGAAGTTGATGGTGTACTTCTTTGTTCAGGAATAGCTTGGAATTTTGGTAGTTCCATCTGGACAGTGTGCCTGGCATCTCTCGGCTTCAGGGTTTCAGAATAGCTTTTTGTCATAGGTTTAGGTTCAGTGACTGCATGAATCTGTTGTTTTTTAGCCTTGTGATTCAGTAAGGATGTACACTTTGAATAGTTTGCTGGGTGTTAGTCTTTACAGTTAACGCACTGGGGCTTTTCTTCTGATGATTTTTGGCAGCAGCCAGGAGAATGTGTTTTTGTGCATTTATTGCATCTATATTTCATATCACACGAAATGGACGTATGTCCAAAACTTAGACATTTATGACATTGTAAGATTTTGAAATTTAATAATGTGACCATTTAAGTTCGTTATTTCTTTTACTTTTGACATGTCTTGCGATTTTTCAAGCAAAATTATATAAATTGGTAGGTTATGTTTTTGTCCATCAGAATATGTTTTCTTTAATTGTATGACCTTTTGCACAAGAATACCATGTACACTCAGTAATTCAAACACCTCTAATTCAGTAATTGTTGGATGTAAGCCTGTTAGCGTGATTTTCTTTGTTGTTTCTCCAGTGGAATACGTATAAAACTGGTAACTGCAATCTCTTAATGTACTCTTTATCTTGTTGTGATCTACTAGTGTCTTAGTATATATTTTATGGGTATTCGTTTCAATGTATTGTATACTAAAATTCACTTTCGTAACGTCTGTGATGTAGTTTATAGCCCTGAGGTCTAAGTTATGTTTTACTATTATTGGTGGTACCTTTTCTGGTATAGGTTTCGTGTCATTATTCCCCTGTATGATTTCCATTGTTTCCTGTTTTTGACCACGCTTCCTTGACTTAACTCGTGTGAATTCTTCAAGTTCAAGATCAGTATCCGTATCACTTCGATCAGTAAGTGACTGGAACCTGTTTTCTTTTTTATTCTTTCTATTGCGTACCATTGTTGGTTTATTAACTTTCCGAAGGAGAAGTTTATATTTTCATCAAAAAATCCGATTCGCTAATTTTATGTTTTCTCGACGTTTCAAGCCATTCTGAATCGAATGAGATCAAATTTGGAAAAAGTATGTGTGTGTGTGCGTGTGCATCAACAGATTTTTTGCCGTAAATCGCCGTTTTCTCAAAAACGGCTGGACCGATTTCAAAAATTTCGAAGTATCTCGCCAAAAAAAGCCATTCGAAGTATCTCGATGAGAACTATTGTTTGTCAGTTTTGTGCGACGATCGGCCAAGCCGTTTCTTCGTAAATAGCAGAGAAGTGAAAAGCCCTTCGTCCACGTTTTAGCCCGCAGTTCTGAATCGATTTTGAAAATTCAAAAATCGTTCGAAATATATTGGTTGGGAATCGACCTGATTAGAGATCGGCCGGGCCGTTTTCTTGTAACAATTTTTTTAAAATAAAATTTCGACGATTTTTATGATTATTTTTTTGACGGTAGATACCATAGTCTTCTATATCATATTAAAATATTACGGCCCTACGACAATTGATTCAGCTTTAAAAATTCGTCAAAGTTTGCAAAAATTGGTATCGTTTTTTTGGCATTTGTCAAAATTAGACCTTTGATCGACGTTTTCTCAAAAACGGCTGAGCCGATTTTAGTAATTTAAAAGCTATTTGATGTATTTCGGTGAGGACTATCGTTTGTCAGTTTTGTGTGACGATCTGCCAAGCCGTTTCTTTGCAATTTGAAAAAAAGTGTTAAGCTTTTCGTCCACATTTAAGCTCATCCTACCAAACCGATTTAAAAAATCAAAAACTGTTCGAAAGATATTAGTTGGGAATGGTTCTGATTAATGTTAGGTGAAAATCTACCGAGCCGTTTTCTTGTAATTAACTGTTGAAAAAAAGTGTTAAACTTTTCGTCCACATTTAAGCTCATCCTACCGAACCGATTTTAAAAAATCAAAAACTATTCGAAAGATATTAGTTGGAAATGGTACTGATTAATTTTAGGTGAAAATCTACCGAGCCGTTTTCTTATAATTAACTGTTGAAATAAAAATTTAAGCCGATTTTCATTGAACTTTTTTTTGGCGATATACATCATGGTCTTATAGAACTTACTGTAATATTACGGCCTTACGACAAGTAGTTTAATTTTAAAAATTCGTCAAACTTTGCTAAAATTATTATCGTTTTCTTTAAGTATATTATTAATGAAGTATATTGATGAAGTATATTATTAACACATTTTTTTTGATTAAGTCGATTATTTACACATATCGGGAAGTTCATGTAACTTGCCTCAAGGCTAAATACCAAACCCAATAGTTATTTTTGGTTTCTAGCCTTTTTATAGATTTCCTAGGCATATGCCTAGGAAACTCTGTGGTGGGGACACCCACCTGACTATAGATTTTTTTATCTAGTGTCTAGTTCAATTGAGAATCAATCACTTCTGTCAAGCCTCCCGTTCGCACCATGCCTGGATGTCCGCCGGAGCAGAAGCTGATTCGGTCGTCTCATCTTGACTTTTCTGGATTGCGGACATCGGGAGATAACGGAATGGTGCCTCTATCTTCCCCCGTTGTCTGCGGCTATTGGGGCGGCACTGGCAGCAGGGGGCTATCAGTTTTGAGAATCGATCCCTCTATCCTCTTTTTATCTCCTCCCCCTCGTGGCTGACACCTTACCGTGGTGAGAGTTTTTTTGGACCAAATTTTTTTTCCGAAAATTTTTATGACCAAAAATGTTTTTGACCAAAATTTTTTGGACCAAAATTTTTCTGACCAAATTTTTTTGACCAAACATTTTTTTGACCAAAAATTTTTTGACCAAAATTTTTTTGACCAAAATTTTTTTTCCGAAATTTTTTTTGGAC